TCCATGTCATGTTGAAACATGGCCCTGAAAACTGGAGAGCGAGCTGCTAAGATGGCCTTGTGAGCCCTGAATTCCTGACCAGATACGAAGAGGCAGCAGTCTGTGAAGAGGGAATTTTCCCACAGCTCTCCTACCTCATTTGTCAAATTGCAGCTTGGAACCTTGATTGGGGATGTCTGTCGAGACAGGCTGAGGACATCTTGTCCCATACTCACCTTGCAGAAGAGAGTGAGCCTGCCTTCAGGTAGTAGCCATTGGGCCTGGGACAGGAGGAAACCTCTATGGATAAACTGTTTGAATCCCCTGTGTTGGTATGGCAGGAAACTATTGACACCTTGGCTCTCCACATTATTTCTTTTCTCTCCATTGGCATCTAAGATCCAAAACTGGAACTTTGCCCAAATGGGGCTCTTTGGACAGCTGAGCAATGCCAGGTAAACTGAAAGGTAATCTCTGCTTTCTTCATCAAACCCGTTCTGGTGTAGTTTCAAACACCATTTTGTTTGGCCATTGTCTTCTGATGAGAAAATTGGACTACTAATGGCATCACTCAATCCCTCCAGAGAAAAATGGAAGTTGCTGATGGTCCACTTGTAGGAAAATGTCTTAATGGTGATCTGTGTGGAGCCCCAGCTCTCAGCTGCCAGGTCCTCTGACATTTCTCCTGTAGGTAGTTTAGAAAGTAACCTGGATCAAGGAAAATAAAAGCAGCTAGGATAATTTCTTCTTCACCCTGCAGTACACAATTATAGATAATTATTAAAAATTTAATTCAAGGGGAGGCAGGGCAAGATGGCGGCACTGGGAGGACTCTCATTCTGAGCAGCAGCACAGCAGGATTGGCACAGTGACCAGCAATCAGAACTCATGGCCATAAAACACAAGTGATTGTGTTTCCCAGGTGAGAGCATACCCCACAGTGGGTGATTCATTCAGCTTTAACTCATCCTGCTAAACCACGGTAGAGATCCTGGTTCCGCCAGGTGCTTGATCGCCAGCCCAGAGCTACAGGCCAGCGTGATCTGGTCACTCTCTCAGACTGAACTGTGCGCCCAGAACATCACAGACTGGATTTTCCTGTTGAGAGATAACCTCCACAGAGCAGGAAACGATTGGGACCGACCTTAGGTCACTCAGTCAGGCCCTGGAAAAGACCCGGGTTCCGTGGACACCCCAGGAGCCAGCCAGGAGCCAGAGCCGGGGACCCAGGCACGTGCACAGAGCCCTGCCTGAGCGTCTGATTCGCTGCCTCAGATAGAACTGTGGGCCCCAGGGCACCAGGACACCAGAGACTGCGTTTCACTGTCAGTTGCCAACCACAGGTAGGGAAACGGCTGGTCTGATCTCAGAGCACTCAGCCGACACCCCCACCCCGAAAAGGTCTCGGGAAAATTACCCAGTTTAGGCAGACACCCAGGCTCCCAAAGGCCAGAAAGGCGGAGCCACAGGGGAGCATCTGTGCCTGTGGGTTCTACTCACCACCCCAGACAGAACAGCGGTCCCCAAAGCAAAGACTGGGTGTCTCTGGCAGGAGGAAACCCCACAGCAGAGGGGATCATCAGGTCTAACGCTCAGGACACCCAGCACCAAAAGACTTTCTGGATTCACTCAGACTCTAGGCTCTAGCTTTCTAATGCAGGCAGGAGCCTGTACTCAGCAACCATTATTGAGTACCCCTAGGGCACTGGAGCACACAGCTGCATCCTCAGACCTACAAAAGCCAGAGACCCATTACAACAGCCCTCAGATACTGTGCCAAGGATCAACCAGTTATCCCTAGCTAGACTGACAAAACTGTGGGAATCCCTGGTCCTTCAAGAGGGCTGCACCCACAGCATCTGGACCGGAGCAGTGCCTGCAGTCACCATCCCAGACAGGGACACACAGCTTCTGGTCCAGAGTGAGGCACCCATCCTCCAGACCAGAGCGGTACCACCAGGCGCCAACTCAACCTAGGTGCACATTCTCCAGGCCCAGAGCAGAACACTCAGCCTCTGGCCCAGAGACTTGCTGGGTGCACCTCTCACTTTCCCAGACAGAACTGTGTGCCCCAAAATAACAGACTGAGTTTCCCTGTTGGGAGAAAACCCCACAGCTAGGGAATCAGCAGGTTCTTCAAGAGGACTGTACCTGGAAAACTGTAACAGCAGCAGCTAACTAAATTTATAACAAGAAACTCAGAAGAGGGGCAGCTGTCTTGAGAACTTCTATGGGTAAGAGGAGATCCCCCCTGTCTAACAAAGAACACAGCTACTACTCAGGGCTATACACCTGAAGTGATCAGTGGCAATTCCTGAGAAACACTGGCCATACAGTGACCATACCCAAAAAGCAGAGGAGGACTCCTTCAGTAAAAGTCATCTTCTGGCCAAGGGGATTCTCCCTACCTCAGGACTCCATGAAGCACAGAAACTAACAGCCAACACCTAAAACAGCCCAATGGGTAGAGGTCAGCTTAAAAGCTCAACCAACAAAAGACAGAGAATTATGGCATCTCCAGAACCCAGCCATCCAGGGGCGAACACCCTGGACAACGCAGCATAATAGAAAATCAAGAAGATGACCTTACATCTATACTGATGAAGAGGAAAATAGAGGAAACAAATAAAATACAAAAAGAATTAGAGGAAGATAAAACTAAACAGATCATGGATATACTAAAGAAATGGAGGAAGTTAAAGACAAGGAGATTATGGACATCCACTGAAGAAATATGGGAAGATGCAACCAAACAGCTTGTGGCCTTCAGAGAAAAAATAATTAAATCACTGAAAGAAATAAAAGAAACAGAGCTGAAGGAACTAAAAGAAAAAGAGGAAAATACAGTCAGACAGGTGAAGGAAGTAAACAAAACAACTCAAGACCTGAAGATAGACCTGGAAAATTTAAAGAAAACACAAATGGAGAAAATAATGGAGAGGAACAATTTAGGGAAGAAAA